AAAAATATTTATTAAAAAATTAAATTTAATCCAAATCTAAATCAAATTGAATTAAATCGCTCGAAAAACCTAACCAAATCAATCAGAGGAACAAAATCAAATAGGTTATAGACTACAATGAATCAATTGGTTTGGTCATCGCGTTGCTCCTCCTCCGCATTAACAAACTAATATCTTTATATATGTTTCATTTATTTATTCATTCCCTTATGCCATCTTTTTGTGGCAATTAAGTACTTCTTCGATCTTTTTTATAATTTATTTTTATCAACCTCATTAATATAAATGTAAAAAAATATAAAGAATAAAAGTACATAAAATTCTAAATATGTTCCTATATAATAAATCTAAAAAATAATATTATATTGCCTTTTTTTCTTGTAAAAAGTAATTCTAAAAATATTTTTAAATATTATTTAAAAAATTATACTGTAACTTATAAATTAAATTAAATTAACTTTTTAAAATATCACTTATAAATAAGACAGGAGAAATATACTTAATTACAATAGGTGAGACTAAAGTACGCTTCAGCTAGCTACCAGAAAGAAAATAATAACTATGAAAGTAAATGGTTAGCTTTGATCATATTTATGTGATGGTATTTTATCCATCTTCTTACTCAACGACAAAATACTATGACCACTCTTTCATTTTGTTAAAATTACAAAAAAAAAATCTCTATTTTCAAAATCCATATTTTAGCTCAATCTTTAACACCATTAAAATATTCTGTTAAAAATTTTAAAATTATTAATATCTAGTTATCTTTTCTCTTTCTTAAAATTTTTAAAAAACTTTAAATAATTAAGCATGTCAGTATTTAAATAAATAATTTAAAATTTTTTCTTAAAATTAATGCAATTTAAAGAAAAATAAACATAAATTATATTGAGTAACTTATTAATTAGATTAAATTCTTATCCCATAAATTTTTTAATCGCATGCTTGAATATTATTGTAGCTAGTTTATATATTTATTTTTTAAAAAAATTAAAAAATAAATACATTTTCATAATTAAAAATTTTAAGATATAGATAAAAAATAAAAAATATATAAGCATTAATTTTTTTTTTGAGTAATTGGAATGATTTTTAGACAATACATATAAATAAGGTTTTTTTGTTCTAACATATGTAATTTAACGGTAAACTAATGATTAGGCAGATGGAAATAAAATCTTAAAAATAAAGAGAATATATATTTTTGTAACTGTTCATGATAAAAAAAGGTTAATATAAGTTTTAAAAATAGAAGGAAAATATTTATAATTAAAAAGAAATAAAAAAAGGATGTCAGAATATTTTATTCTATATTCTACAGACACATAAATATATATATATATATATATATGAAATATTGTTTTTGGGGCCAAGATACATAGATTTGTGCATATAAAGAATAGAACCGGTAATAAAAACATTCAAGTAGTGGACTCTAAGAGTATTCAAAATTAATATAAATCAATCATACAAAATCAAACAAACATAAATCAATCAATTTATAAATAAGGCTTGATTTGTTTTTTCTTTTAATAAAATTGATTAATTCAGTTTGATTTAAGTTTTTACGTCACAAAACTTGGACCAAACCAAACTAAGTTTTATTATATTTATTATATATATATATATATATATATTTTATAAATTTGCTAAAGTTTTTCCCTTTTTCAAATTTAATTATTTGCAAAGCATTAGTAAAAATAAGTTATAATTAACTAAATATTATTTATAATTGTTTAATTTTTTTCAATTTTATAATCAAGCATTTTAAAAATAATACATTAATTTTTAATAGTTAAATGTGCTAATTAATTGTTAAAATATTTTTTTTGTGTTCAAGAGATTTTTTCATTGCAGATAATCTTAATAGTTAAAAAATATTAGTGGACATGAATATATATTAATAATTAAAAAAATATTTTATTAAAAAAGTTTATACTTGATCTAAACAGCTCAAAAATTTAATTAAATCGGTTAGAGAAAAAAAAATTGAATAAGTCTCAGACTATAATGAGTGGTTTGGTTCTGTTTTTGTTTTTTTTTTTTTAAAAACCAAACTAAATCAAACTCGTGAACATCTTGGTGGACTCAAATACTCTAACTCCACTTTGTAACAACTCACACTGTCACACGTCATGGAAAACTTGGCAACCACTCATTTTTATAACAAAAGATTTGGTTAGCAAAAGCTCGATCATGCTTTTTACATTAAATAACAATATTACCACCAACCACGGCTGAGGGCGGAAAGCCTTGTCAATTACAAAAATCATGTTGGCAGAGATATTTTCAATTGAGCCCTGCCAGTGATGGAGTCAGGATTTTGAATCAGAAGGGATGGAGTCAAGATCCTCGACGCAAAAAAAAAAAACTTTTATGCCATTTTCAAATTTTTTGTATTTCTTTTTTTTTTCTTTTTATTTGTTTTTCAATTCAACTTTACAAGTGTAGTAAATCAGCGAAATGTATTCAACGAATTTATTTTTGATATTGAATCTTTATTTTTTATTATTATTTTTTAATTAGTTCCTGAATAGTGTCAAATTATTTGAGATAAGAATGATGTGTGTTTAGTTTAGTCAAATTTAAAGTTTTTTTATTTTTTAAATGATTGATAAATAATATTAATATTTAAATATAATGAAATTATGAGCTAATATTCATTGAGTTTTAAATTAAAAAAAATTAGATTTTAAATATTGGTAAAAAAAATTAAAATGAATTTAAAATTTAAAATATTAAAAACTTATACCTCATGCATATCATTTTTCCCAAGTTGATGGGGCATACATGTCGCTCAGCCCATGAGCCCGGCAATGTCCACTTATTAATAGATATGAAGTAATTAAATAACTATAAGAAGAATCGCCTGTGCTCATCATTTACCAATATTTTGTGTGGCCCTCGATGTTGCAATTTTTATCAAACGACTATTTCTAACATTTCCCCCTCAATATCAATAATCGGACCACGCAAGATGGGATCCAAGACAGTGACTTGCCCCAGAGAAACCATTTTATTTTCTGATTCATCAAGTGATCGACGAATATAAAGTCCACATCATGATCAACTGCTTGATACATGAAAGTAATTGATTAAAGTAGAACATATATAGAGACCGCCGGGGGGGGGGGGGGGAAGCGGGCTAGATGTGTTTCTTTGGTTGTGGTTATTGTTATAAAGTATTGATTCGTATGGTGGAAGAGAATCGAATGAAAAGGTCAACCTTTAGGGGATGAAAACAAAAAAAGAAAAATTAAAAATGGCATTGGCATGCATACTTGAGAAGTAGGGGATGAACTACTTAATGACGTGGGAATAAAAGTCATGTTGAATGCCACGGGAATGGAATAAACAAGAAAGCCTGGTACTCACCCCACTGCTCCTGCTTGCAACTAGACACCCCCCCACCTTCATCATGGCTAAAACGGTTCTTCGTCGGCTGTCGGTGAAGCAACCTGGCTATCACAACACACTCTTATATATCAAGTCATTCCAAACGCTCCTATTTATATACATGGTGATCAAAGGACGAAGCATGTGTGTGAGTGACGCAAAGATAGCTCATACTGTTATAAGTATGGGTACAATTTCACAAATTAAATATCCACTCGAGGCAGAGATGAACTCACGGCTTACGTTTGCTTGAGTACTACCCAATGAAGTTTCGTTATCCAGCTGATGTCACAGCAAAAATCGTGGAAAAAATGAATTCTATTTACGCTGAGGCGATATCAATTGCAAAATGTTCTGGCTCGGGTCTTAGAATTGTTGGCAGTGTCAGGCAAATCAACTTTTAAAGGGCACATGATATGAATGGTTCTAATACTCAGTGAAGCAATGCTAGTAAGTGACGAACACTGTTTGATGCTGTTGCCACTTAATTGAGTGACAATTAAGTGAAAAGACAGGGCATTAGAAAACAGAGCGTCAAGAGATGAATATTCAATAGATGCTGATGATGAGACGGTCCCTTCAAACATACGAGGGTGGATGAGGTTATTTAGTGAGGGAATTTCAGTTTCAGCTGAGCTTAAAGGAGAGCATGGGGTTGAATTGCTGAAATTGTGAAGCACGCACGCGCGCACGAGTGTATTAACCATCCACGTAATTTCCATGATCAAGTCAGAGCGAGAACAATGCAGTGCCAATTGATGCGTGGCTCACAATTTGCCTCTTCAATGCAGCTTCAATAATGTACAACTAAAACCATTCCTACACTGTAGTTATATCCAAAGCTTGAAATCAATGACACGACTTGACTGCCCTGAAGCCGAACTCCTTGCTGTTCCCAGTCCAAGACATCCAAGTTGGCAATTTTATTCTCATGAGTTCTGGCTCGTTCTGTTGAACTTGTCAAGGATTCCGTTTCGAATTCTAACGCTGAATAATACTTCATTATTTCATTTTGCTCACAGAAGCAGTGGATGATAATTTGACATAACCAAGTGGAGAAATAACAAGAATCTTCACGGCCTTTAACACGCCCACTGAATGGCCATATCAAGCCATTAGAGGACATCTCGACAAGGCACGCGCCTCCAATATTAGTTGCTATTGCCTGTCACAGAGTGAAGTCAAGCCAACATGCACAATGGATCGGAAAACTTCCCATGGAGGTTATGATACAGCGGTTAATTTTGAAATACTCGTGCTTTTCTGACACGTATACACATGGAGTGGCTTCTGAACACAGCAAACAGAGAATGGAATCATCCAAATGCGCAATGCTTGTAAAAGCATTTTAGGTGTTTAGTTTTTTCTTTAAAAGATTATAATTAATTATTGTCTCTGACATATATCAAGGGTACATTTCATAGCTTTAAATCTTTTGATCTTTTCACTAAATGACTAAAATATATTTTTTGTTTATTAATTTTTAACTGCACACAATTTTAAGTTTTACAAAAGAAGCAAGACTAATAAAATAAAATCAGAATTAAATTAGCTGATTTATAAAATGTAATTTAAGGTTCACATAAGTTTTACTAATAGCATTGGACAAAAACGATGATATTCAAGATTTTCTAAACATATTTCGTGGGTCATGTACCAGCCATTAATTACACGTCGTTGTACACGCTAGTTCAACTAGTTTAATGGCGAGACGATTTGGATTTGTATCCTGGAGTGTGACGCATGACGACACGCCTCTTTGTCTCCCGATCACGGTGTTATTTTGTCTATTACAGGACGAAGTCCGCTTCTAGACATGAATCTTCACAGTGGTTTCATTACAGGCTTACATTAAAATAACACTGAAACGAAGAGCCAAGCTGACTTTTTTTGTTATGAACTCGAATCCTTGGTTGAGAAGAGCGTCAGTAGTCAGCCACAGCTTCAGATTTGGGAGGTTAGTTTCTACCTCACAGCCTTGGTCGACCTTAAACATTATTAATTTTCCTCAGGCAAAAGGCGTGGATATTGAACTAAATCTAAATACGTACATGGGAATAGGACAGAGCTTAACTTACTTTCAGTGTTAACGTGAGTTGAAATGAGTCACAAAGTGTGGCCAACTGTGAATTGTGAATGCTGTACCCTGACAGAGACTCAAGAGCCCTGTAGGGTGAGGAAGCCACCGCTTCGCCTTGGCTGGTTACCACCAGTTTCAGATAAAACTCACTTTCCTCCACTTGTATCACCTCCATCTTCACATAAATGCTTCTCTCCCACACAAGCCAAAAAAATAAACCTGCATGATCTTCTTGCAGAATATTAAATGGTTGTGTGCGCCTTGAACTCGTATCCTCGTGGGGCTTTGATCTGATCCTTGCTTGAGGTCTTGTGATGAGGCTAATATGGAGGACACTTCGAGATCTTCAACCTCGGTCTTCAGCTTCCTGTGCTTGCAGCTCCTGCAGATATGTTGCTGCATCTCCCGAGAATACTTGCCTTGTGTATCTGCAAATACACAGTAGTTCCGTTAAATCTTGCCACTAGTTTTGTTATGCTCACATGGATAAACACACACAGTCCCCGAATTGTTAAGCTCACATGATTGACTTGAAAACACACCTTAGTTATGTTGGGAGCCAGAGAACGCAAAGCATACAGCGCATGCTTCATTCGTCCTCTCCACCTCGTCTCAGAAATCAAAATGATGGAACTCTCAGCTTTCGGCCTTTGTTCTGAATTATCAGCACCAATTGTAGCAGCCGAGGCGGTCGTTGCAGAAGAATAATCTCCGTCGTCGCCGTCGCCGTCGTCGTCTTCGAATTCCTAATGATCTACCGATCTCTCTCTCTTGGCCTGAACGTCGCCATGAAACACGAGAAAGAGCTAAGCGGAGAGTGTGTGGAATTAGTTCATCACTGACAGCTAAGGCAGTGTCAGGACAGACAAATGGGTCGCAGCCCGCAGGGCAGGGGCTTGGAAGGAATTGGCAATTGAAGAAGATATCAGGTATGGGATCGAAGGTGAAGGGGAGTGAGCCTTGGCTCTCACCACAAATCAAATTAGTGAACTGATCAAAGTTTGGATCGTCGTCGAAGTCGTGTACGCCAAACTCATTCATGTTGTCATCCGTGTCATTCACATTCGACGTCGGCGCCATAGATGGATGTTGTGAAAGCCCTAATCCTTGTGATCCTTATCATGTATGTCAGTTTCTGCAGCTATTTATGTATGCCGGCCCGTAGCTAAAAGGGGAGGGGTTTGACTTTAATCTATACGGGTGGGACCAAGGACCAAATCGGTGGTTTTTTATCCACTTGCAAAAATAGTTTTACATTCATTTGAAGAAAGCTCCAAGAGAAAAGAATAAAACTTAAGGCATTTCAACTGGGGAGTTATAATAAGATCGATATTGTTCATATGAACCCAATTCAGTGCAGCATGCAAGGAATGTAAATGATCCAGGCACATCTAGTCACAGGTTTCAGTTCCAGCATGCTGGTTACAAAGCTGTATGTGGCGTCAGCATCTTGAACGTTACCTGGATTGGTATGCATACCGTGTCAGCGCACGCAGACATAAACCTGGATACAAGCCTCCCTGGTGGGTCGGTTTCTGACGTGCGCAAGTTACTATTATAGGCATGAACATGAATGGCGGTCTATGTATATTTATGGACTAGTGTTTGAGGAGCATAATCAAGCGGACATACATTCGCTAGTCTCGAGTTTGTATATTTTTACCTTTAATGTACAGTATAAACAAGGCGGTGCTCCAAAAGGACCTAATATTCTCATTGCACTGTAATGGGCCCTCTAGATTATTGGGTTGGGCATCACAAACATAAAGGCCGGATGAAGTGTTTCCAACGTTTAGGAATCGTCCGGACTGTTTGTCATAATTGGGCTCCAATGCATGTAATGGGCCCACTTGAGTATTGGGCGGCCCAATGGTTCAATCTCCGAGAAACAGGCGCCAGCTGATGGTGGGGATTTGGTGTTTTACGATAGTTGATTTCCTGGATTCAAAGTCGTGTATAAATCTGCAGTCTTTTCTGAATTTATGGTGTTTAGAGCGGTGGAGACTGGTTTGTATGTGCACTGGAAATTAAAATTACTAAATTAAATTACTACCCCTCTAATCTTGTTTATAGGTCATTTTTATTTTTTTATTAGAATTAATAAAACCCTTAACTCTCTCTCTCAAAATTTAATAAATTAATAACTGGTCATATACTAGTTTTAACAATAAAATGTTAAAAAAATTAATTTTTAGTCCTTCAATTTTTAACTCAATTCATTAATTATAACTTGTTGTGACTTAATCTATCAACTTTTGATACACTTGTGATTTAATCCTTATTTTTTAATTTTTTGTAAAAAAGTATCCTTACCAAATAAGAGAAATAAAAGAAATACTTATATCTTACTCTAAAATACCCTTCTCTTTTTCTTGACGTGAGATCTAAACCAACATGAAAATATATAACTAACAAAAGCTGATGAATCTAGTTACAGCGAATCATAGTTAAGGAACTGAGTTTCAGTTAAGTTAAAAGTTAAAAAACTAAAAGATTAATTTTTTAAATATTTTAACATTTAATAACCTTTCAAGTTTTAATGGGGGTAAAGGGATGAAAAATGAACATAATAATCATTAAAGTACCTCTTTAATAAGATAAAACCAAATACACTCACTCTATCCTACAAGTAAGACTAAAGGAATGCACTTTGTGTAAAGTTACAAATAGATCCTGTGAAATATACTTATTCACAAATAAGCTTACAAACTTTAGAAAGTAGGGTCAGATTTCGTGGGATGAGTGTGGTTTGAAATTATAGTGCAAATACAATACTGCTTTTACTTGTAATGCATGATCAAATTAAATATTGCATATGTGAAGTTATAGTTATAAAAAATTGAAGTGATAATTGTAAATTATTAATAAAATATACGTGAATGATTAGCATTAAACTTTTTAGTAATGCACGATTGGTTTAACTATTAAATATGTAAAGTTATAGTTATAAAATATCGAAGTGATAGTTGTAAATTATTAATGAGATATTTTTAAAATTCAAGTTAAATTACAAATTTAGGTTAAACTTTATTAGTAGCACATTATCAGTTTAATTGTTAAATGTGTGGACTTATGGCTGTATAAAGTTGAAGCGATGGTTGTAAATTGCCAATAAAATGATTGTAGATTATTTAATTGATGTAATGTATTTTTAATATGGGCATCATTATTATTACACTTCGATTTTAAAATGCACCCATGTCTCAAGAGACTCCACTATAATTTTTAAATTTCATGAATCTTATTTATAAATAACTCTACTTTATAAGATTTATATATAACTTTCTATACATTTTAATTACTTTGATCTCACTTCTGTATCTTTATTCCTCCTTACAACACTATGAATTGAATTATATGTGAGGGTCAAAACAAGTTACGTTACATGAAGTTATATTAATCCATGGAATTAAATTAAAATTCGATGGGTCAAGGATGATTTTTGTTCCAACTGTACTTGAAAAATTAGTGAGTATCTTGGACTTAAAACGAGGATCAATTTCATTTCTCAATGTCAAATATTCTTTTCATTTTTACATTGTCATTTCTTCATCATCAACAAGCCTCACATTATACATTTTTAAATATTTTTATTATAAAATATTGCAATTTAAGGTACTACTGATTCTTTAAGATAAAACTAAAGAGCAAAAAATGATTCTTTATTTAACATTAAATTACTAATAAAATAATTTTAAAAATTTGGGCTAATCTTTATTAGTAGCATTTAGCCAATTTAATTGTTAGATATGTGAACTTATGATTTTATAAAGTTAAAATGATAGTTGTAAATTATCAATTAAGTGATTGTAAATTATTCAATTGATATAATGCATTATTATTTTTACACCCCAATTTTAAACTACACTCAAATTTCAAGATATTTGATTATGATTTTTAAATTTCACGAAACTTGTTTATAAATAATTCTACTTTATAAGACTCATACATAAATTTTCATACATTTTAATCACTTTGATCTTGCTTCTCTATCTTTATTTTTCTTTACATCACTGTGAATTGAATTACATGTGAGGATCAGAACAAATTATGCTATATGAAATTATATTAATCCATGAAATTAAATTGAAATTCAATGGGTTAAAATGATTCAATGAGTATCTTGAACTTAAGTGAAGGTCAACTCTATTTTTAACTTTAAAAATTCTTTTCATTATTTACCTTATTGTTTTTTCATTATTAGTGAGCCTTATATTACATTTTTTAATATTTTTATTATAAAATACTGTAATTCAAGGTGCTACTGATTTTTAAGGTAAATTGAGAGATAAAAAATGATTATTTATTCAATATTTTATAATAAAAATATTATAAAAATTCAACATTGGTCCATTAACAGTAAAAGCAAGACGAGTTAGTGTCAAGGCTATCGAGAGAAAAAATTTCTAACATTGAAGAATAGAATAAATTTTTATTTAAGCTTGGAACGCTCACTTAAAATAAAAAGGTGGAGGAATAAAAACGACATTTGGTCTAAATTTAACAAAGAAGAAATTTAACAAAGAAGTATGAGTGCCTTCAACATGACTCCGAGCAACCAAAAGATGCTCGTGTCAGTGTCAGACGTCGTGCACGGGTAGCAGTTTTACCGCCCCCTTCCCAAACTGTTCCCCGTTCATTCCCAAACGCACACCTACTCGGCTCTTGCTCCCCATTGTTTATCACCGTTCTAGTCTTTTTTCTTTTTTTTTTCCCTTTCAATTCTACAATTATTCTAAACTATGCAGGGGGCGACCTCAGACCTCTTATCTTTTGGTAAATTTGAAACATATACCAATTTTGCCAATAATTAACATCATTATCTTTTAAAAATATTCAAAACAATTCAAACCGATTATATAAAAATAATTGAGTTGATATACAATTTGAATGCTACATTATAAATTTAATAGTGATTTAAATTTTAAATTTTTAAAAGCTCAATTGATAAATGCGTGTTCAACTTTAACGGTAAGAACGAAATTGTCTTAAATTTAATTGTTTAATATTTAAAAATGTACTTTTTATAAGTTTGTAATTCAAATCATCTATAACTTTATAGTTTAAAGTTTAAATTTCATATTAACCTAAATAAATGAAATAAACTAATCAAAAACTGACTATGGAGGAAGTCTAGTTTGATTTTCATCATAGTAAAATCTTTTGATTCATATCAGTTCAAGTTTTTATGTCTTGAAATTTGAACCATACCAAGCCATACATTATTATACCTATATTATATATTTTTATAAATTTATTTAATTTTTTTATCTTTCCCAGATTAGTTATATATAAATTATTAGTTAAAAATATATTACAATTAATTAAATATTATCTATAATTTTTTTATATTCATTTCTTAATTATATTTTTATAATTAAGATTTGTAAAAATAACATATTAGTTTTTAATAGTCAAATGTGTTAAATATTTTTTTATAATTAAATTTTATCAAAACACCTTTAATTATTTACTTAAAAATGGAATATATGAAAGTGGAGGAGATTAAAAAATATTAGGAAAATTTTGGCAGATGCAAAATCTTCACCACGCTTTAAAAATGGGAAGAGAATTGATGGAAGGTGAGAGTTGAGAGTCGAGACCGAGTTAGACAGACAGGAGTGGCATTTAGCAAAATAAAACCCGGGGGGGGGGGGGAGGGAGCGTTAACCGGTTGGCCGTTCCGGTTAAGAGCAAGTGTATGGCAAAGATAAAATAAAACAAGAGTAGCATTTAGCAACACATGTAGATAATAAATAAAAGATTTATTTAAAAAAGAAAACGGATTCAGGGGTGTCAGGGACCTTTCCAAATGGCAAAACCAGCTGTTGTTTTGTCCATTGCTAAGTTATAATATGTTGGGTCCAGCCAGAGCCCGTTATTATTATTATTTTTTATGATACGGAGCCAGAGCCTAATTTGATTAACGGTGACAACTGACAACATTTGGGTGTGACTGTGAGTGTGCGTGTGCCGATAACGTCGGAGACAAAGAGAGGCGCAAACATGAAGCGTCGTCAATCTTATCACCTCTTGCGTGTTGCCCTGTCAGCACCCTCCTGGCTGCCTCTTTCTCAATAACTCGTGGATTGCCCTTTCTCTCTCCCCGTCTTTCCCTCCCCCTCTCCCCCTCTCTATATATTCTCTCTCGTTATCCATTTCCTTGTCCACCATCATCTCTCATGGAAACCCACTCTCTCCTCTCTTCCTCCTCTGAATCCCCTGTTCAGCATTTCGGGTATGCTTCCCCTTCCTTTCTCTTCATCCTCGCCCTCTCTCCCCCGCTCATTCTTTTCCTCTGTTTTGTCTCTCTCAGCTGCAGACACTACAGAAGGAGCTGCAGGATCAGAGCACCCTGCTGCAATGAAATTTTTGGCTGTCGCCATTGTCATAATGAAGCTAAGGTATCCTTCTCTCTCCTTTCTTCTCTGGTTCTTCTCCTTCGCCATTGCCAGAATTGGCGGTTTCCCTTTTGTTTTCCTGTCAACAGAACTCCGACGAAGTCGATCCCATCCATCGTCACGATGTTCCCCGCCACGATATTACAAAGGTTCGCATTTTTCTTGCTTTCCAATTTCATCTTACCTTTTCCCTGTCATTTTAGCCTCGCTCAATTTTATGTACGCCATATTCCTGGTTTTTTACTCTTTTTTGTTTTTTGTTTTTGATTTCAGGTTATCTGTTCTTCATGCAATACAGAACAAGATGTGAGTTCTCTAAACTTTTCTCTTACAAGTGTTTTCATAACTTCACCGTTGTGATCAAAAGATAATTTAGAGAAATAATGGTGCGGTTATTCATCCATTATTTTTCTCCTGCACTACCAGGTTCAACAGTGTTGCATTAACTGTGGAATGTGCATGGGGAAGTACTTCTGCGCTACTTGCAAATTCTTCGATGATGATGTAAGTTTCCCAATGCGATCGACACTTTAAAAAAAAAAAAAATTTGACACGGCAAGCAAAAGCTTGAACAGGGCAAAAAGGCACTAAAAATATATATATATAAAAAAAAAAAGCAAGAAACTATAAGTAAGATGAAAACAGCATCTTCTCTTCTCGCGACAGTGCGATCAACATTGAATCAAAACATATACTCCAAAAGTTCCTTTCTTTCGGGTTCCATTTTCATGTCTTGGTTTTCCAAATTATATATTAAAAGAATGCGTCTCTGCATCTTCCAGATTTCGAAGAAGCAATACCACTGTGATGAATGTGGCATCTGCAGGTGACATCTTCACCCAGTTATCTTTTTTCTTTTTTCTTTTTTAAATTCAATCTGCAAACTGTCATCACCAAAAATTGATTAGGATCGTTTAATTTGTACAGAACTGGAGGCAAGGACAACTTTTTCCACTGTATGAGATGTGGTGAGATCAACGTCTGAACACATGAATGAAGGCTTCTTCTATAAGCCCAAACATAAAAATTCCAGATTTCCTTTTCCGCTTTGGCTGATCAATTTGAATTTGCTCGTGCTTGTTTTAGGCTGTTGCTACTCTAATGTGATGAAAGAAGGACACCGATGTGTCGAACGCGCAATGCATCACAATTGTCCCGTTTGTATTGAGGTAAGGCAAAATCAAATGAATTTCTTTTCTTCAATCTTTAAAGAAAGTTCTCTGATGGTCAGTGAGATGATTTCAATTTCACCCCCAATTTGTAGTATCTATTTGATACCTTGCGAGACATTACCGTCTTGCCTTGCGGCCATACCATACATTTGGAGTGTGTTAGAGAGATGGAGAAACATTGCAGGTAAAGCTATTTATACATCTCTCTCGTGAGTGTTTTGAGTTAAACTGATTTGTGACTATAGTTAACCTCGGCTAAATATTTGGACCGGCGACAGCAAATTTATATTATGGTTCAAGGACTGGCCTTATACAAATTTTAAGGCCCAGTAGGTTTGATCGAGGCCTATGAAGCCCAATCCTGGAACTCATTAGAAGTCTATTTGCCTTTGGGCCATGCCAGTCCATCAATGAGTGAAATGTCACTCAATCGTTCTATGTTGGCTCGAGGCCCCTATTTATAATATTGAGAAAATCTTGAAAGAAACCAATTACTCTTTTGATCTTTCAGGTATTCATGCCCTGTTTGCTCAAAATCCATATGCGACATGTCAAGTCTTTGGAAGAAGCTTGACCAAGTGGTATGCGCGCGCGCTTTTTTCTTCTGTTGATCAGATTAGTTGATATTAGTGATGGATTTGGGCTTTCATAGACTGACTTTCTGGTCGGTATTGGAACTTTGTGATAGATTGCTTCAACACCAATGCCTGAAGCTTACAAAGACAAGATGGTAAGTAATGACCAGGACAACCTTTGAACAGTTGAGAAATGGCACATTAATGTTGCAATTGAGGTAACGAGGTTGTTATCTGGCATCAGGTGTGGATACTATGCAATGATTGTGGAGTGAACTCTCAAGTGCAATTCCACGTTGTTGCTCACAAGTGTTGGAAATGCAACTCTTACAACACAAGACGGAGACAAGGAAGCCCTAGCCCTGCGTGCACTTCTTCAGTGACCGAGATGGTGAGATGAAGCTATTGAAGTGGGGAGAAACAAGGGAGGTCTTGTGAAAATCCTTAGCTCGAGTTTTCTTGATTCTTGTTCGAGTTTATTTTGATACATATTGAAAAACAGGGTAGTAAACTTGCCTGGGAAAGTATGCAAGTAGGGAAGTTCTGTGCATAAAAGCAGTGACGGAGCCAAGATCCTGGGTTAGGGGGGTAATGATGGAGTTAAGATTTTTAATAAAAAGAAGACATTTCTGTCTCTTTTAAATCAACTATTTCTCTTTTCTTTTTTCTTTTTCTTTGTTCCCTATCTAGCTTTCAATTGTAGATTAATAAGTGTAGTGAGCTAGTGAAAAACATTTACCCAATTTACTTTTGAGTTTTAAATCTTCATTATTTATCATTGCCTTTTTTAACTAATTCTTGAGCAATATTCAGAATGAGGAGCGAGTCTATTTAATCATATTAATTTTTTTTATTTTTTAAATAATTAATAAATTATATTGGTGTTTAGGTATAGTGAAATTGTAGGCTAATATTCATAAGGTTAAGTTAAAAATTTGAATAGATCAGAGCTAAAAAAGTAATATTGAAATAAGTTTAAAGTTTAAAATATGAAAATAAAGAGGTGCAAAGTATAATAAATAAAAGATATAAATTACAAAATATAAAAATCTATATTTTCAAACATGTCATTTTTTTCAAGTGCCCTCTCTCAATTACATGTCCTCTACTGCATAGAAGTCTTTTTCTCAATGCAATTCCTTGTTCGTTGCCTTTCCGCTTCATCGGTTTCCAGAGCATGAAGAGTTCATGAAATCACTCACGAGCAAATAATAGCAGCTTAGGCAGAAATGACTGCAAAAATTGATCAAATATCACTTTCAACTTAAATTACACACCTCTGGTATCTGTTGTTATATTCGATTATATCGTGTTACAAGCATATAAATACTAATGCGCCATGGTATTTTCCAAAGCCAAGCTTAGAAAGAGAGCAAAACAAATATAATGACTAGTTACCAGATTTCGAAATTGTAAAGAACGTATAATCTGTAGTTAAAATTCAAAGTATGCATCTGCTTATGAGTAATTGCATACCAACACAAGCAGCAGCAATGAAAAGCGGCAGTTCCACTACAAGTTGGGCTGTCTTCAACTCACTCTTCAGGCGCTTTTCTATTTAAATTTTGTATCTACTAAAATAAAAAAAATTAAATATAAAAATAAAACAAGATTAAATGTGGAGCATCTAAATGACAGAGGATCATATTCCGCGGCTCCTCCAAGAAAACACTTTGCTCAGGTGAAAAAGACTGCTATGTGAGAGAATCAACACCAGAGACCAGGTGGCCTACGTGTCCTTTAAGCAGGAGAAAAGCCAGCAGCAGACAGATTTCTTAGCTCTTCAAGATCTCAGTGGCCAGACCAAAGCATGAAAGTACCAAGTCAACCACACCTTTCCAAACGAACAAGAGTTTTAGACAAAGTAGCGTCGAGGACACAGGTAAGGAACCGCTTCAAAGCTTCCATTTCCCTTCAGAATCCCCTCGTCCTGTTGCTCTGCCTTAGTCTTCGAAAAAAGTTCTCTTTTTCGTGTTACTGTGTACATGAGCCACTCATATACTACTAATCTTTCTGTGGCACCTGATTTCGCTTACTCTGGCTTACATAGAAATACTACACCTTCACTTAATCTATAACAAGATATTATTAATCACTTGAAACAAAGCGCTTGGCAAACAGCATCATAGCTATTGACTCGATCGCTCCAATTATCTTCTTCCTCATCATTGCTGATCATTTTATGGGCCTCTCGACTACAAACAGCAAATCGTCAAATTCAAACCGTCTACAGCGACTTCGATTCCAACATATGGTAAAAAAACACAAACACACACACTTTTAAATGCCTTTTTATGCTTAAGCTTTTTGTACTAGCGTCGTTATCCGAGCTATGTTAACAGGGCGTTAACTCATGCTTGGCAAGATCAACGTCTGTGCCCACAGAGGGGTTTGAAGATGACCAGCACTTTCTGGCATCTTGGAACCCTAATAACGTAACAAAACTCTAGTTTTCCAAAAAAAAAAAAAAAAAAACCAAAGGGTGGTAATAGCCCAATAGGAGACTCGTACTGTTTAAAAAGAAAAGGGGGAAAAAAGAAGGGTTACAATACAACAAAGTGAGCGAACGCTTAAACCTGCTCAAAAAATTTACAGGAAATGGACCACCGGGGACCACACCGGCCTCACCACCTTTCCTTTGCAGCAAGTAGGTTTTACGAGACTGTCGCGTGGACCTACCAATATATTTACCATCATGCTAAATTCAAACTAAAGCTGAAAACCAGCAGTTTTGCCCTTTGCCTGACCAATGAAACTTTAAATTTGAGAGCTGCTTGATGCTGTCTCGAAAAATGGTTTAGATTGGATTATAACCCGAGCTCCCGAAGCAAGCCTGTTGGGTTAAAATTAAAATTATAAATAAATATTGCTGAAAACTTGGAAAACAAGCTGACATATGTAAAACGTCAAGAGAACCAAGCTAGAGCCAACACTTAACTTTCTTCAATTTGGATCACCTCCTCTTCCTTGCATGAGTCAATCTTCTTCGATTGCTTTTTGCCCGTTGAGGGTTCAGTTATCCTCTTGCTGCTACCATTTGATGTCACAGGAGATATGCTTTTGCCATCAGTTCGATCCGAGGAGTTTCTTGGTCCATCAGAAACAGGGGATCTCATGGATTCACTTCGTGAATGCTTGCTAAATGAAGCCTTGATTGATCGTAGAATACATTTTGAATGTCCTGCCGATGATTCCTCCTTGTCATCTTGTGGATTGAGTTCTCTGCAGGCCCTGCACATTTGCATGCTAGATATGTTACAGAGGAAGATTAGTCTGGATATGACAATCTAAGCCGATTAGGAAAGTCTAGATTCGTTACATGGGAAGATTTATCAGGATATGATAACCGCATCAGATAACAATCCAAACCAATTAAGAAAGTCTGAAGCAAGAATTTACCAAGCCAGTCGTGATAATTACTGGTCCAATGCCTTTTAAAAGAAATCTCCATCGACTCATTTGTCTTTTAAAATAATAAGAACAGACACTTGAATGAACAAATATGACTCCAAATTGAGAAAATTTCTTCCAAGTGCAACGATATATCTATATTGCTTCGTTTTTCCTTAAAGAATCATTTACTTACAAGGGAGGGGGGGGGGTTTATTGCATCAACTGCAATCCACCTGAATTTTTAGCCTAGCCTGCCCTCATCCACTATGTAACATGAATCCAAAAATCAGTACAGCCAACCCAATAGAGCTGAATCATTCAATATATCATCCCTCAAGAGCTCAACTTCAAATAAGCAAGGCTAGTGCTGTCCACGGTACAAGTAACTAAACATGGAATGCACCACCAAGTGTTGTGAGATTGGATTGATTTGCCGGAACCATAATTTGTAGGAAAGGAAGCAATAACTCTTCCAAATACTAATTTGTAATGTTGTAAGAATAATATTGAAGGCAAAACCTACCTTTCATCATTGTAGGAAGAAGAGCGTTTCAGAACATTTTGTCCATCTGCTTCTTCCTTTGGTATCTTGGTCTCAATTAAGCTCCCACTAAAATATTCTTTGTCCTCCAATCTCAGAGCCATCAGCCTCGGATTCTCTGCTAGGCAATCAAGTTCACCCAACATGATAGAAGTTGAGAACAGTGGAGAAGGGAACTTTGAATGGGAAAACCGAGGCTTATAGGATGGAATAAGACCAAAACTGTGATTTTTCACAGATATTGACCCACAAGAGATCAGTTGCATCAGCAAATTTGAGGCTTTCAGTCTTGTGTTGGCTGGGACCCGAATATCTTCCTGTTCCAGAATCCTAAAGCTGTTCATCTTACTAGCATCAGCTCTAATCAAGGATTCCAAAGTTTCAGTTTTACCACCAGAAGACAATGGACTAGAAGTTGAGGGAGGAGGAGAAACTGTATCCCTACAGATTTCTGAATTATCTTTCACTTGTTGTGCTAATGCTTGACAGGTTTTATAGCATTCAGGTACTGACAAACCATCATCTGTTGATACACCCCTTGTGCAGGTTTCCAGTGTTTTATGTCTGCCACCACCTTCTTCTGTTTGAGTTGATGCATCAGCCAATCCATCAGTCTTATAGATTTTGTACTCTGTCAAGCTAAGAGTGGCACTCTTTCTAGCTCTAGACTCTGGAGAAGCATCAGAGGAACCCGTATGTTGTCCAGGGGAAAGCTCATCATCTTGGGACTGCCTTGTCTCTTTCCCATTCAAGCTAGAGGAGGAGGAAGCTTCATCATGGCTCCTAGAAGAAGCTGGTTCCGGCAACTGCTTCAGGCTCTGTAGTTTGACATTGCTAATGGGACTGTAACGATCTGTAAGACAAATCACAATGTTCAAGGTCTCGTGTATTAGTTCATTCAGGACCTAAATACAGCAGTTATCATATTTACCTGAATTGGATTCCTCAAAGAGCTCTGATCCTTTGAGGACATACTCATTGCCATGGGCTGGCAGTATTAGATCATCTTCACAGAGATCATGCCACACAAATCCATTCTTGTAGCTTCTGAATAACATAATTAAGATATAAATCTATGATGAGAACCATACTAAATGATTTGGTTGTAGAGACAAAAACTTAAAGCTCAAGTCTTAACAACCTTGATAGTTCCATCTCAAGTCTTAAGTTAAAACGGATGAAGGATAGTTACACGTTCTCAGAATATGTTTTACTATAGGTTTCGCATCACGTAAATCGAACACCAGGAAAAAAGAAAAGTAGCATTTTTCTTACCTCTTACATGACCATGAATACAAAGAAGCCATTCCTCTACCTCTTAAAGCGTTGAGCTTATCAATCACATCTGCAAACAAAAAGTTCCTCAAAACCACACACCAGTACCACAAACACACGAGAATAAATCCCAAAAGAGAAAAAGAGAAAAGAGTTGGTCATTCATTTCATTAGTACCTCTCAAGTATAGTCCATCTGGAGAGGAAAGCGGGACCTCCATGAAGTGAGGATGCTCTAGTTGCCTGTTCCGACACAGATAGTAAATCACCGGTACTTTCCGATTCTGTTGGTATTTTGGCGACCTCTCCGTCCATACTTTAGCCCTCTCCGGACTCACTTGACGATACTTCTTCATTCGCGCGTCCATACCCTCATCCAGAACCGCAGCCAGACCAGTCGTCGTAGAATGGAATCTCCCTCAAAAACTCAAACCTCTCAGCTGCGATTCCTCGATCGAAGCTCTACGGTTTTCTTTGCTTCAATATTTTTGGACCTGAAGAAGAACCCTATGGTACACATATCTTCAATTCGCAGAGAAACATCAGAGTTGCAAATTTGCACCCTTCTCACTAAGTGGGAAAAAAAATCGAAATTCAGGTGAAGGAGCTGCGCTGCTGAGATGGAAGTTATGGAGAGAAGAAGCGGAGAAGAAAGCCAAATCCTCAGAAAAGTGAGAGAGGGGAAAAGGGAGGAGAAGCCGTTACCAGTGGATGGAGAGGTTGAGAAACGGACGCCCGCATTTAAAGCGTTGACATAAAGACACTGCGGTGTGGTGGGAATGGGTTGCAGGAAGACGATGAAACAGACAGAGACGAAAGGGAGAAACTTGCAAATAATTTTTGGCTGATGTCGCTGTGAACTGTGAAGTCTGAAGAAGTGTGAGAACTGAGTAGCTCACTCTTCTTCGGCTTTTACCCTTTTACCCGCTTTTTATAGTACTCTGTGGTCTTCTTGTTCTTTCTCAATCTTCCACCTTGGCCCATCCTACTTCAAATCAACCGCGCTTAATCCCCAACAAGATCGCACGGGGGGTAGGAAAATTTTATTTTATTTAATTTAAAACATTATAGAGAGGAGATAAGTGGTAGAAGATTTTGATTTATTTAACTTAAGTATTATTTAATGTTAGCTGAATATAAATAATTTAAGAAAAAAATAAAGAAGAAAAAAAAATTTAGATCATTGATAGAAGAAATAACAAAAGATTGAGAAGCAGCATAGTGGACAAAGAAGCCGTGGATGAAAAAAAGAACATGAGAGAAAGTGAAGGGCTAATAATTGGGAAGGACAGCTCGTGAAAAATGAAAAAAAAAAAAAAGGGAAAGAGAGAAACTTTGCTGTTCAAACAACTGTAGATCTACAATATTCTTGGCAGATTTTACAGTATAAGAAGATGTTTTATAGACTTGGCAGTTATAGTTAGGTTCCGAAATTTTAAATCAATGATAGTTAAGTTGTGATAAAAAATTTAAAAAAAGTTAAAATTATCAATTTAAATAATTATAAATTTAAAATTTTTAATTACAAATACATATTTAAATATTAAATATAAGTCTAATATTGTAACAAAAATTTTTATTTATAAATATTTAAATTAATATTTATAATTTATTTTTTAAAATTTTTTAATCAAAATTTAAATGTTATTAATTCAAATTTTTAAGACCTACTCCCTCTGTTTAAAAATATAAGATATTTTTAACTGAATCTCACCTCCAATAAAATAGTTACCTACTTTTCAACTAACCTTATTTTTTTATATTTATTTTTATTAAACATCCTATAATAAATATAAAATCATTATCAATAGGGCCATTTTTTTTTAAAAAAGTAGTGATTACACTTTAAAATATTAAAAATATTTTATATTTTTTAACATCCAACTTCTCAAAAAATACTTTATATTTTTAAACGGAGGAAGTAATTGTCGTTCCTCTAAACTTAGGTTTTATCCATCAATCAAATCATATCAAACAAACCTGTTTTGTCTCTCAAATTTCACTTTCTATTAACTATTGATATTAATTAATAATTATTAATTACTATATTAATGTATTGTTATCATAAAAAATTATTTTCTTAATTGTGTATGATGTACTAACCATCTAATTTAATATTAAGAACTTATTTACTTTAGTTAACTAATAATTAAGACTAAATTTTCCTTTCACAACGTTGAATTTATTGCACTTTTTTTTTTTCATGGAACCAGAGCACCGAACAGAAAATCATAGCAATATAAATCGGTTCAATTGTAAATTTAAAGAGCAATATATACTACCAAATCTAGTGTAATTGTACGTGTGAATTATTACAATTGTTACTATTTAAATTTAAGAATTTGTAAATCTGTGATGAATAAAATCATTGCTGAGTGTGGCCTAATTATACACTTGAGCATTGACAAGCATCATTATAGCCTATAAATAATGATATGGAATCTGACGCAGTACGTTTCTTTGAGTTTATATTCCCGCTCAGTTAAAACAAAACGATTGAGTTTTAAAACGAACGGGGATTTTGGTTTGCTGTCTACGAGGCCAACTCACACCGCCATTAACCCTTTTGTTCTTTGATTTGTTTTCTTTGTCAACAACACTATATGAACATTATCAACCAAGTTCTGTTTGAGGGAAGCTGGCTTTGGTGAGCAACTATGTGATGTTAGTATGGCTTGTATTAGTAGTCTTATAGCTAAGGTTGTTTGAAATGGCAAACCCTTTGCTACTTTTGGCCCTTCTGGAAACCCAATATCATTGTGCAGTTTCAACATTTGTATGGAGACGTTGAATTACATGATTGAAGAGGAAGTTAATATTGGCAAATGGCAACCTATCAAACTTTGTCAAGGATGGGCCCTGACTTTTTGATTTGTTCTTTTGCGAATGATTTGATTCTTTTTGGGGAAGCTTCTATATATTAGATTCAATCTATGAATAGGTGTATCTTGAAGTTTTGTGCAATGTTAGGTTATAAGATGAATAGAAGACTAAACTCTGTGCATGCACAAATGTACAATCGAGCTCCAAAACTCAATAATGATTTAGGTGTTGGCCTTATTGGTGATTTGGGCAAGTATTTAGATATATTGCTTATTCATAAGAGAGTCACCAAAGGGATGTTCTCATCAATCATTACAAAAGCCAAGCATCGTATATTGAGCTAGAAGTATAGGTTCCTCACTTTAGCAGGAAGATCAATCGGCTTTACCCAGTTACTTCATGCAAACCATCCTTTTCCCTTTGAGCATCCTAAATGATTTGAAGAAAGTTAAAAGAGTTCCTTTAGGGAGATGGAGAGAGTGCTAAGAAAGTACATATCTTGGCTTAGGATGTTTGCAAAAACATAAAGACTATGGTGGTTTGGGGATAATAAATCTCAAGAACCAAAATTGAGCTTTCATTTGGAAGTTATGTTAGGGTTTGGTGACTAATCCGAGAGCCCTCTAGGGGTAAGAACTAAGATCTAAAAATAAATGTAGGGATGCACATACTCTTATAGTTAAAAAGTGAGTAGGTGCTTCTGTAACATCTTAAAACTATGAACTTGGTTAATTAAGTTTAATGAGAGTAATTAAGTGAATTAATATGGTATGTGTTTAGAGAGATTTAATAAGTGTATTTGATTGTAATTTCAGCCCTAAATCCCAGTCCGAAGTGAAGTTGAGCTCCCTAAGCATCAAAAGTGGAGGAAAAAGTAAAGGAAAGTTCTTTACGCCATATGCCATGGTGCGAGGGACGTTCGCCATGGCATATAAAGACATGCAATAAAGGAATGCATGACCAACTTTTTTGATATATTGGTTGCGAAATAGATGAAAAATTAGAGGAGAGAAAAAGGAGAAAACACAAAGCACGATATTACTCTGCTAGTGCATGTACTTGAGGATCATTGGAGATATTTTTAGAGCTTTACAACACTCAAGGTAAGGGCATTGTGCTTCTCTCATCTCTTTTCTTCCATTTTTATAAAGACTTAAGTTAGGGTTTAAGTTGGGAGAGTTTTTTTTTTTGGTCTACATGAGCTATGGGTCCGAACCTATTGACTAAAACTGATATAATAGGAGTTGCTTAGAATATTTAAACCCCACATTAATGGTTTTGAGTTATTAGTAGTTGGGGACCATTAATATTTGAAATTAGCAATCAATGAGGTTGTTAAGAGTGTTGATAATCATTACTGATAGTTTAATGACTCATTCATATTAATGTGGGTCATCAAAACCTAGTAAGCTAATTAGGTATAATGAATAGTGAATTTATAACCTTGGTGAGAAGGAGAATGTGGAGTTGTAATGTCGAAAATTGCTTAAAAATGGGATAATAATGATATCCTTATAATTGACTGTAGATTGTCTAATTCTGACATCATTCAAGCCAATTTAGAAGCTTTGGAAGCTCGTGTTTTAAGGGGCAAACCTTTTCCCTCTCAAATGTTTAAGGTAATCGAGGGAAATCTAATATGTATAGTTGTTTATTAATTAGTTATTTGTTAAAATAAATGTATTAGAACTTGATTGGTGTTAGAAAACTATTGATGCAACTTTGACAATGTGGTTATTTATATGTGTGAAATTGTTTATTATTATGGAGAAACAAATGTTTGTCATTTACGTATATGACTAGTGATGTTGAATAGAAAATATGATATTGTGAAAATGTGCTGTACGCGATATTTAGTATGTGAAGTATGATAAAGTGAGAAAATGGTATGAGATATGATATAATTAATGGTTGAATTGCATAAATATGTGTAATATGTGCATAGCATGATCATTGGTAGGAGTTCGCCTAGAGAGAGGAGTATATTAATAAATCCACATAGTACTGGTGGCTTACCATTGTAATTAAAAGCTTGCCTTGGCACCAACTGTTGGAACTAGGAGGTAACCTTAATTTGGGACCGTCTTACTAATTCTTCAAGAGACTTAAACCTAATTAGTCTCCACCAGTTCATGAGAAGGCTAGATTAGGGGGTACGTGTAACATTTAAAAAAATTAAACATGATTATTTAGCTTAATGAGCGTGATTAGTAAATTAATGAAAGTGTGGCCAAAGGGGCCTAATTGATGTAATTAATTGTGATTTCAGCCTTAGAATTGGGTCTAAAATAATGACAAGCTACCCAAGCAAGGGAAGAAGAAGAAAAAGTAAGGTGAAGCCCTTTAGGCCACATGCTGCGGCATGTGGTCAATTCACCGCAGTGCATAGAGGAAGATTTAAATGCAACGGGCCTTTTTGTGCCACGCGCCCAACGAAGGGCTTCATGTAACATCCAAAAAACTTTAACCCTGATTCATTAACTTAATGAGGGTAATTAGTGAGTTAATGAGATGTGTGGCTAGAGGGGCTTAACTTGGCATAATTGATGTGATTTTAGCCTCAGAAGTGGGTCTGAATCAATGACGGGCCACCCGAGTAAGGAAAGAAGAAGAAAAAGTAAAGAATTATTTTCTGTGCCACAAACTGCGGCGCGTGGTTGATCCGTCACAGTGCACAAAGGCAATTTAAATGACGAGCTCTTCTATACCATGCGTTGCGGCGGAAGGCATCGTGTGCCATAGCGCATGGCCAAAAATCAGATATATCTAATTCATTTCTACATAAGAAAGACAAAAAAGGAGAAGAAGAAAAATGAAAAGCTCAATTTGGCTCTGCTAGGGCATAACATTGGTTTTATTATTGATAGATTAAAGCTCCCAAACACCCAAGGTAAGATTATGATGCCTTTGTCTTTCTTTCTCTCTCTCATTTGTGATGATTTATGATAGGGTTTTGAGTTGGGAGATGGATTTTTGATCCATAGGAGTATGGGTCTGATTTCATTAATTAAAATGAGATTAATGAAAGTGGTTTAATGTATTGAAACACCTCATTATTGATTTTAGAGGTGGATGGCCCATAGGAG